GACAATATGAGAAAATTTCGGGAAACTATTGTTAGTTTTGTACTGAAATTCTACAGTTGCTGAGGAAACTCCTGAACTCTGCTGAGGAAAGTAAAGAAATATTTCTCCAACACTGTATCAGCTCAGTGGAGGAAAATATGCCCATGGTCATCGAGTATGTTGTTGGTGATGACAATATGATTCTCAAAATTCTCTCAGAATTTTACTATTACATGAAAGTTCTGAGGAAATTTTGAGAATTCATTATCATTCCGTTTCTGTACATTTCTACTTTTTTGTATAATTAGTGTAATTGCAATTGAGTGAAACGAATATATATTTCATCCACAGGTGGACGCTTATGAGAAATTAGGAGTACCAATATGGGCGATAACGCAACAGAACGAACCACAGTAAGTTGGTAAAGTGAATATGAAATTGTGTGAGTAGTGATGTTTTGATAGGAATTATATAACTCAAAATTGGGCGACTTGCATTTTCACACCTGAGGCTCAGCTCGCCTTTATACGAGATCATTTGGGACCGGCGATGAAGGCGGCGAATAAAAGCACTAAGTTGTTATTCAATGATGACGATAAGAATTTCCTACCAGAAGTTGCTAAGTTGATTATTGAGGATGATGTCGCGGCTGAGTAAGAACTGTTTATCACTAGGCCTTCGTGACGAAGGGGCGGAGCTCACTTAGTCCACGTCTATTGATTAGATAAATGAATTTTACATAGGTCCTCGCTTCGATCCCCAGGTAGGACATTTTCCCGTCATTAAAGCTTATCGTGCATATCTCGTCGAGCTGCTCGTACAATCGAGTTTCCGGATTTTTGCCTACACCTAGGCATACAGAGGAGTCGTTTGATGTATCTGATAGCCTCCCACGCTTCGTGGTTAAGCCAGAATAATTCTGCACGCACTCACGCACGCACGCACAACGCGAAAGTGCCCGTTGTTGCGGTATATGCTCCACTCGCTTCGCTCGCTCCGCAACTTTTAGCAGTATGGGAAAATATGCACATGCTCAACAACTACTACGTGTGTTGGTGATGAGAATGTTGAAATTTTGAGAAATTCTTATTAGAGTTTCACACGCCATTTTACGTGAAGTGGCGTCGTAAAACTCGGTGAAAAACGCGATATTCGCGCTATGGCGTAGTCGTGAAATATGTTTTCACTAGTGTTTTTCATATCACTAGGGTGGTGAAACTCCATTGGCTTCTGTATGCTTCTGTCTGAACTCGTATGTAAACTTGTATAAACTCTGCTGAGAAAAGGAAATATATATTCCTCCAACACTGTATCTTGTCGCAGGTCAACTTCATTTTCTTGGTGGTGACAATATGAAAATTCTGTAGACATTTTGAGAGATTTTTGTTGCTTTCTGTACACGTGCCCAGTTCGAAATCCAGTCCTATGTTGCCAATGTCGAGCAATTCTTCGAGTCGTGTTTGTAGGACTGTACTATCCCTAGCAGCCTTTGGCAGCCACGTATTGTTGCCTTTTCTTTAGTTGAAAAAAAGCTAACATTTTTTATATGAGATTTGAATCGTATTATGTTTTCTTTTTTCAGATATGTCCACGGTGCCGGAATCCATTGGTATTTTTTTGACCAATATGATGCTCTCAAGGATTATAAAGAAAAATATTTAAGTCGATATCAGTTACTCTCCACTGAAAATGGTAGGCTGCTTTGGCGCTTTCTATGAAAAAGGGTGTCTTTTTCTGAGGAATTTTCGGAAACTTTACTATTTGCATTCTAATATTTTTAATACATTTTTAATATTATTTTTTTTAAGGCGCGCGAATTTTGCTGAAATTCCGACAAGGCTTGAATATTCAGTGTGAATCAAATGGTTATCAAGAATAGTATTTTCAACTTAACCTTCAAATTTTAAGGAGTTCGAAAGTCAACTTTTAGTAGTATCAACATGATAACAATGTGGATCGATTGACAGACGCGTTACGTAGTCTATAGTCGTACTAGGGTCAAATGGCAGAAAACTATCTTGGGAGTTTATATATTTGGAACTGTCGTATTGATCGTTACTCATATGCAAATATGGTCATCAACTACAGGTGTCGGTGATGACAATACGAAAATTCTGAGAAAATTTTGCGAAATTCTTTTTGGGTTTTGATCACTCCTACCCAAATTCATACATATACTTCTTTAACAAGTGAGTCAACCTCGGAGTTTGAGCAAAAATATAATTCACCAAACGTGGAGTTTCACAACCCGTTTTACGTGAAATTGCGGAATTTGCGGTGATATGCAGTAGTTGTGAAATATGTGTTTTGTTCATATCACTAGAGTGTTTGTATGTCCGTGTGTGATCAGCTCTGGGAAGTACCGATATCAACTTCCCCACGCCTTGGCAACTCGCAGTACGCATGCCCCATGGTGTTATTGTGGACTTTGTTACTGGTGGCTCACGGGCTTTCGTCGACTACAGTTTGACTGCAGTAACGATGATAAATTTGCCTTTTATTGTTTGATACTATTTTTTGTCAGGGTGCTGGAGGAAATGAGAATATTGTTCTTCTTGACAACGGAACTTTCATAGTGAGTTCGAGTGAGCTGCTGACGATAGGGTATATACAGCTCAAATAACTGTTGTACAGCTATAAAGTCTGTTAAGGGGTCAGCTATAGATTATACAAAGAAGAGCAAGAGAGCAAGATATCAAGTCAACTATGAATACTTATCAACATTTCTTTCGTATAAAATTGGAGTTTCACGACCCGTCTTACGTGAAGTGGTGTACTCTCTGGGAAAAACGCGATATGAAGTGAATTGAAAACACTTTACGTAAGACGAGTCACCCCATATCACGTAAAACATATGTTGTTGTTATTGTTATTGTTATTGTTATTGTTATTGTTATTGTTATTGTTATTGTTATTGTTATTGTTATTGTTATTGTTGTTGTTGTTTTTATTCAGGCTAAAGACGCGTATTATACATTTGGGCAAGTAACTCGTTATGTGAGGAAAGGATCATATCTTCTTTCCTCTGTTGAAGTAGTGAATCCCGGCAAACCCGCAGATGGTATACACCCGGCAGGGGTAGAGGCTATGGCTACTATCAATCCTGATAGAACTGAAGTCGTTGTTCTTGTGAGCTCATAGCATTTTATCATTTCAGTTCTCTAACAAAAGTCTTCTTTAGATAATACGTGATGAGGAAGACAAGGAGCATGCGTCTACGTTTGATATCGATGTTGAACTTGGTGACGGTCAGCATGTTACAGTTACCCTTGAGAATGTTGAGAACCTCAGTGTTTCAACACTCGTTGTAAAGGGTAGATTTTGACCCGTCTGCTATCCACGGATTCACCCAATGTGAATGTGGATGTCACGTGTCCAGGGTTCTTTCGGTTGACTTCGATTACGGAGTCTTGATATTATGTGAGAATTCTGAGACTATTATTATTCTTCTTGTTTGTCAACGATCGTTCATCAAGATCTTCAGTCCCATTTTCTATACTCTCATACTGAGTTGTGTATCGCGACATAGTCGAGCAACAATAATATATGCACACGGTCACCTACAGTGTTGAATCAAGACTTTGACTATGTGCATTAACACGCGAAGAGACACCAGTAGGAGATATTCTTTTCCTCCTTGTTTTTGTTGTGAAAAGCGTTGGTCCCTCGATTAGGAATCAAATTTTTGAGAACAATACGCTAACGGTCGCTCGTCGAGGTCTTCGTTTTCTATACTCTGGTACTGAGTTGTGTTGAGGGTAAGCCCCGCGAGATTGTCGAGCAAGGAGTAGGTTATTGTAGGACAATGTGCACGAGGTCAACTACGAGTGGAACTACCCTCATGGAAATCGGACGATTCGCGAAGTGGGGAGGGTCTCACAGGGCGAGTGTGGTGATTTTGGGGGAATAATACCATTCACATCATACTATGATTCTTGAGGGGACGTTATGTTCCCGAGTGGAAGTGTGAAGGTCTCCCGAGAGAGCAAGTTTACGGATAGCCGAAAGACAGATGACCGAATTTCAAGAGAAAAGCAAGACGTCAAGTCGTTGCTAAAGCAGTGATTCAGTCTGGTCACCTTCGGACCACACACCCAAGAACAGAGAAAGTTCCCCCAGAGTGCTTGAGAATTCCTGTTGGAAACCCGCAAGCTCTCTTAGTTAGGCATCAGACGAGATATCTTGGGTGTGACGGAGTTAATATTTTTTTCTATCTGAGATGAGGGGCATTCACTCGGGATCTGCACGGTGGCTGATTGGTATAGCCGTGTTTTATCCCGGGCACTGGATGCGTCACGGACGTCGACTGCTTCCCACATGGGTTTGTGAGATCCACCCTCGTCCGTGACATATTGTCAAAACTCCCATCACAGAACCTCCATCAACTGCGAACGGCATGGCGTGAAGGTCACTTCTGTTCACTGAATGAGATAAACTCTGTTATTTATTATCCTCATAGGCTCTCCGTCGTCCGAAGGTTGTGGGATGCTCTGTGAATAGTGGTCTCGTGGCCTAATGGATAAGGCGTTGGTCTTCGGAACCAAAGACTGTGGGTTCGAGTCCCACCGAGATCGTTTTATTCCCCACCGCGTCTCCTTTTTCGGCGGTATAGTATTTGGAAGATTCTGCGGTCTCGGAGTTTCATGTGTAGGGTGTTGATGTTAAAGTATACTAATGCTTAAAGTTAGTGTTATATTAATATTACTAGGATGGCACTTAAAGTTAGTGTTATATTAATATTACTAGGATGGCACTTAAAGTTAGTGTTATATTAATATTACTAGGATGGCACTTAAAGTTAGTGTTATATTAATATTACTAGGATGGCACTTAAAGTTAGTGTTATATTAATATTACTAGGATGGCACTTAAAGTTAGTGTTATATTAATATTACTAGGATGGCACTCAAAGTTAGTGTTATATTAATATTACTAGGATGGCACTTAAAGTTAGTGTTATATTAATATAATTAATAATGACCACTCTGAGTGAGAGTTCGGTAGAAAGAGTCTTAAAGATCTGTGATGAAGTCTCCAAAGATGTCGGTATGGAGACAACGCCTTTCGTCGTCGATTGGTAATTGCCATATTTACGTGAGGATTTCAATTTTGATGATTAGGAAAAACAAATCGGAAAATTATATTCTCAGCATATTAGTAACACTACTGTTGGACATACGAACTGCTTTGTATAAATTTTATCATATTTCAAATTGTCATCACCAACAAATGTAGTTGATGACCATGTGCATATTTCTCGATAATTTTAACGCGTTTTAGCGAACTAAACACTTATGGATAATTAGATTTTCTAGATGGCATTTTTCAAGACTACGTAACGCTTCTAAAACCTTGGTGTCAATCGATTCACATTGTTATCATGTTGATATTACTAAAAGTCGACTTTCGAACTCCCAAAAATTTGAAGGCGAAGTTGAAAATATTATTCTGGATAAGCATTTGGTCCACACGGCAGGAATCAGTGTTGGAATAAATTTCCTCACTAATTATACAAGTTTACATACAAATTCGGGTAGAAGTGTATGGAAACCAATAGGAATTCTCTCAATTTTCATTCTCAAAATTTCACCTACATATATATGTAGTTGACTACGTGCATATCTTTCCATACCGGCAAAAAGTGATAGTTAAATTTCGGAGTGAAACTTCATTAATATTTTCCGCAGGTACAACGACTTTCGAATAGAAGTTGCTCCGGAATTACCACAACTAATTGAAGTTTCCGGAAGGAATCGTTTGGGCGTGATTTGCATTTCTAACAAAAATTTCTTTCGAGGTGAGTTTTGATATTTTTCATTTTTCATCATTTATACCATCAGTTTCGCCGTGATGTTTTCCATATATGAAATTTTTTCAGATCGGCCGTTTCCCTATAATCTGTTTTTATACATCTTTCTTGTGTGAAAATGTTTTTTTATATATGTTTTTGGTGATGATGACAATCTTATTTTTCCGCACGATGCGAATGATAGCGGAAATTTTTGTCAGCGAAAATTTTCATTTACTCATTGTAGCGTTATTTTCTGTAGGTCATTCGAAATTTCTGAGTATTTTCTCTCATTTCACAAAGGCTTTGTGCACGCGAATGCAGAATTTTCTGCATTTTTTTCACATTAGTTCTGATGAAAATTTATGATTTTTTTGATAGAATTTAGCTCAGAGACCATGAAAAGAAATATACAAAACTGAGCTTAATGAATCTACTTGCGAAAAAAAATTTTAGGCATAAAAATTACGCGCCTTAGAACTTGCGACCAACTAAAGAGTGTCTTCCAGGAAAGCGTATAGTTTTGAGAAATAACGTTACCCAGGCAATGGGGAAAATGATGGTCCTAATGTGATTATGACATTTCTAACTCATTGAAGAATGTGTTGCTTGCCATACGCGGAATATTCAAAATGAGTTACCCCTTCTCGGTAACCTTATAGGTTCCTGGATGATTTCACATTGTGTTGTGTAGCGGCGAATATGCAACTACATGTGTGGTTAAAATTTTGAGGATGAAAATTGAGGAAATTCTCACTGGTTTCTGTAGGCTTCTAATCGAGTTTGTATGTATAAGTAGTACAATTAGTGAGGAAACTACTGAAATCAGCTGAGGAAACCAAACATCATTTATACCAACAACAACGACATCGGTGTTACACCACCCTAGTGATATGAAAAACACTAGTAAAAAATATATTTCACGACTACTGCATATCACCGCGAATATCGCAGAGTATTGCACCACTTCGCGTAAAACTGGTTGTGAACTCCAGTGTTGGAGGAATATATATTTCCTTTCCTCAGCAGAGTTTATACAAGTTTACATACGAATTCAGACAGAAGCATACAGAAACCAACAATAAGACTCTCTGAAAATTCCAACATTGTTATCACCAAACTCCAATGTTATGTAGGTGCTGTTCTTGAGGCTTATAGTGAGCGTAGCAGAGACGGTGAAAAGGTGGGGGGAAAGTTCGATTTCGTTTCGGAGGGCAGCGATTTCATCGGGAGAAAACTGAAACCGTAGGAGCTTACCGGCGTTTTATTTATAACACTTTGCGAATCTCAGATTGTTGGTTGAAGAGCTGTCGTGTGAGGATCATATCGTTACGGTCATGAATGTAGACAAGCCGCCTTTTTTACACGTAAATTGGAAGAATTTCGGGTGGTTTTACTATTCAGGAAAGCAAAGACTCTGGTGATCCTGCGGTAAAATTGATGTTCTTGTATGCTGCATTAACTTCATATGATCATATTCATTGGAGTTTCACAACCCGTAAATGGCGCGATGTTAGGTGGAAAACCCGATATTCGCGGTGATATGCAGAAGTCGTGAAATATTGTTTTTCATATCACTAGGGTGAAATTACAGTTGGAGTATATGTTCGCTTTCCTCAAGGGTTGGAGTATAAAATTTTCCGAAATTTTAATATTATCACTAGGTACAATCACTCGGTCAAGTTGCCGGTCTCGATATGCATTTATCCCCGGAGTTTTTACAAGAAGGGCCTGAGAAAACCGAATGGGAAGTTGAAGTGCGAGAGGCCATGCATGATGTGCGCGATAAGGATCTCTGGGGTTCCGCGTATGATAAAGTGAGTCAGCGTGTGTGTGTGGGGGAAAATATGCACATAGTAAACCGCATGTGTTGGCGATGATTACAATATGAAAATTTTGAGGAAATTTCTGTGCACTTCTGAACGAATTCGTGTGTGAACTTGTACAGTAAGTGAGGAAATTCCTGAGGCCAGCCGGAAAAAGCGACCATATATTCCAACACCGCTTGAAGTAGATTAATAACAGTGAGGGAAGGGAGAATATGCGCATGGTCATCATCTGGTGATAATATGAAAATTATGAGAAAATTTTGGGAAATTTTCGTTGATTTCCATACTGAGGAAACTCCCAAGCTCAGTTGAGGAGAGCGAACATGTATTCTAATACTATCTGGGAAAAAAGGCGTTAGGATGAAATAGCGCGGAAAAAAGGAATAAAAATTGATAAAATAACGCGCTGTCACAGAGGTTGATATTTTTACACGTTGGAATTGTGGTGAAATATGCACATGGTCATCAACTACATGTGTTGGTGATGATGACAATATGAAAATTGTGAGGAAATTTTTCGATTTTTTGTCGGTTTCTGTACACCAAAACTGTCATGTAAAATTGTATAATTCGTGAGGAACTCAGCTGCAGAAAGCGAGGTAATATTCCTCCAACACTGCGGAATACATTTTATTCGATTTTTCTAAACATTTTTGTGAGCACGCAGCACTGATCAGCAACTGGTGAAATTCGCTCTACCTCCTAGATTAGAAAAAAAATTGAAGTTGTGGAAAAATGAAGTTTCAACAGTTTTACGCGAAGTGGCGTCGTAAACTCGGTGAAAAAGGCGATATTCGCGGTGATATGCAGTAGTTGTTCATATCACTAGGGTGGTGAAACTCCATCATATGTGAATAAGTAGAGTTAGATTTATCGTAGTTTTCGCGTAGGTTCTACCCTTGAACCTCCATCCGAAGTACGGCGGATGGTATGCGTATCGTCTAGTTATTGTTATCGATCTCGAAGTAAGTGGAAAACATCGTATGCGTATTCGTGATATTATAAATTTTTACGCAAGTGGTGACAGTTTGGAGGAAAAAAATTGTCAACTAAATATTTTGGTGATGACATTATGGAAATTTTGGGAAATTATCATTGATTTTTATGAGTTTCTACCCTAGTTCGTACGAAGATCTCAATTAATAGTGAGGAAACTACTAAGCTCAGCTGAGGAAAGTGAACATAAATTCCGATGGTGAGCCGCGAAGTAGTGAATTTACATTTTACATTTTTATCAATGTAAAACTACAGTTTAGGAAATAACCTTCAAGAATCGATACTTAGAGGTGTGG